AGAGGGAGAGAGAGAGAGAGAGAGAGAGAGAGAGAGAGAGAGAGAGAGAGAGAGAGAGAGCGCTACACGTTAGAAGGAATTATGCAAAATAAATGTAGACATATTATTTGTGAAAATATTATAAATTGGAAGATATATTTCTTTATATCTTATAAACATACAGTCGCCTTTTGGACCTTTATTAGCGTTAGATCAGGGTTTATATGTGTTATTGTGTAAACTTATATGTACAATGCTTGAAGAATGTTGCGTTAATAGTATACTGATGAAGGTGACCGAAACATATGTTTATAGATATAAAAGAGATATAAAAAGAGATATAAAAAAATATACCTCCTAATTTTGTTATATTTCCATAAATAATATGTCTACATTTATTTTATGCAACACCTTCTAACACATAGCTCTCATTAACTTTTTCCTATATAATTTTAATCTTGCGATTGAGCTTCACGGTCGTTGCACGCTCCGTCGCTAGCGAAAAAACTCTTAACTTATCGCTATGCTAGATGATAGTTCAAAGAGACAGAAATCGAGGTTGCCGCCCGTCAGGATCTCCTCACGTTTGTATTTCCGTTGTTACTACGACGAAGCGCCGTCGTTAACGAAACAAAACCAAGTTTCACCGAGTCGATCGTGACGAGAGGACCGGCGGGTCCTCTTTCGTGATTCCTTATCGCCGGCGGCCAATCATCCGTACGTATGTATATCAGTTGTCGTCGAGAGAAGTGAGAGAAGTAAATATATACCGTGACAATTAAGAGAAGGTACTTGGATATTCGCGAGAAACATAATGATGAAAATATTATGTCTCAATGGTTTTACCGGATGACGATTGTCGATGGGAGTCTTCGAAAATAAACGATTTGTTGTTAGATGTAGCGGTTCTAAAAATATATATATATAAAATTTCTACGTACAATACACACGCAATCGCAGTCTCACCTCTTTTTTTCCGTACTCTCGCACTTATCTTGTCGAGATCATTCCTACGCATCTTTTACATTGTCGAGATATTACGGCCTCATTCGATTTATACATGTCTACTAAATTATTTTACTCACATTTATGCGATTATTCAAAGTCGGACATTAAATATTAGTCTGGACAGTTGACATCAATTAAAATAACACTTTCAATCGTGCACATTTGTAAAATAGTCTGAAACAATCAATTGTTGGAGCAACCTTTTGCTCCAACAATCAATAAATTGTAGAATTATATGATTAATAAGTAAGATCAAGTTTACGTGAAAAAAGATTCGTGAGTGACGCCCAGAACTTGTCACGTAAAATCTAATTAAAATCTTCGAAACGCCCGCCTTAACATGGCTGCCACTTAGCCTCTTTTCAAATGTAACTTCCGTTTGATTTTCCTCGGATTAACAATGAATAATCTTCGTGCTTATATTTAATTAAAATAAGGTATAATCGATGATAAATAATTTTTTTTGAATTAATGACAGTTACGAATAACGAAGCAGTGAACTCACTCAACCGATCACCGTGGTGACGTGTGGCACGAGGAGTCGAGCCGTCGCGCAACTTCACGTGTCACACAGCGCACACGTCGACGAACGTCGCGGAGCAAGAGGTATTCCGGCTTGCAGCCGTGCATCATCGTAGACGTTCGAGAACATCGGACACGTTCGGACGTGCGCATACGGTGCGTATGTGAACACGAGGAAACGCACTTTTAAACACATTGTTGAAGGTACCTTTAATCTGAGGGAATTCGCTGAACGACGACGATGGCACCAAAACAGAGAATGCGCATCGCCAACGAGAAGGCGACGAAGAACATCACGCTACGTGGAAACGTTCCCAAGTCGTCGGTGAGTCCTCGGGGTTGTCAGAATGATAAACATCCTTTGACGGTGAAACTACGAAAAATGCGAGTCAAATTCGTATCGTGGAATCGTCGAGCGTGTCGTTCGAAGAAACTGGAGGAAAATCGCGTCGCGAGAGGCCCGGTTGTACTTGGCGGGTATTTAAAGGAAAATAACATATGGTTTTGAGAAGAGCGGATTGAGTGAAACAAGATCTTTGTATGTATATTGTCAATCGCGATATCGTTGTAAATCGACATAACTTCTATGGTTGGTCTGTTCGAATTTAACGCGATTGTCGATTTAATTGACCATTTGAGGTTATAGAGAGATCCAGATGCGATGGATCATTACTTGTAAACATCAAGTTAATGTCAATATTTGTTTTATTGCAATGTGTATTGTGCAAGTTATCGGAAAATATCGACCGGTTTTGTCCATATGTGCATTATATCTGTCTCCATAAATGAACAGCTGTCAATTCTATATCGCAATATTGTTTATGTGCATGTTCTATCTGTTTATTGATGTTTTTTGAAGCCTAGTTATATTAAATCAGTAGAAATTTTTTCTGTTCTAGAAATCACAAGAAGAAGGATCTTCAGTTGGACCTTGGCTTCTAGCTCTGTTTCTCTTCTTAGTTTGTGGATCTGGTAAGTATATGATATTTTTAATATGTATAATAATTCTGATATACAATGTTAAAAATGTTGGAACAATAGATTGACACATTTGCAAAATTAAATTACAAAGTTTCTAGTTCATATTATATAGCTTCAAAATAATATGTTAGCTAAACCAGAAATTTTATACAAGTATAAGAATAAACAAAGAATATTGAAGCACTTATACTTTACTCTAAAGAAAAAGAAATTAAAAAAGATTCAAAGGTGACTTATTTTTTTACGGTGAAAATTTCTTTTAGCAATGTTAAAAGCAAATGCTAGATTGAAATACAGTATATGACATTAAAACAAGATGTCATTGCAAAAAGTATTATTAATAAAGAAATGTTTGTTTTGATGTCTTCTATATCTTTACAAAGTTTATCTATTTAATTTTTTAATACCTTTTGTGCGTACACACACACACATATATATATATATATATATGAAGTTATATTTTTACAGTTATATTTTAAAGTTATATATATATATATATATATATATATATATACATACATACATATATATATATATATATATATATACATACATATATATATACAGGTTAAAATATTATTATTCCTGTCTTTCTCTCCTTCACTTATATATAAAAATATACTTGAATTATTCAATTATATATAATTGTAATTTAGAAGTAATATATCTTACTTTATTTTTTATTTTGTTACAGCTGTATTTCAAATCATCCAAAGTATCAGGATGGCTTGAAGATGATAAGGAAAAAAGATACCACTGTTAATCTTAACACAAACCATTTACAACTCATGAATATGTGGGAGAGACTGACAGACCATTTTGATATAGATTGTAAAAAGGAAGAAAGATATTACAGGAATTGGAACATCACTGTAACGATAACATCTGGATAATAGTTGGAAAACTATTTTTCTTTTTGCAAAAAAGCTCAAAGATTTATTTATACCACTTATATATTTATAAATGCATTTATAAGCGTTTAACTCAATTGTGCTACACATAGACGAAAGAAGTACTCATACATATGGCTTCAAAAAAAAAAAGAAACTTAAAACTAAGAAAACAAAACTATAAATAATCAATCTTATTTCTAATTTTCAGTCACGGTCAGATTGTTTTGATCAAGTTTCTGTTAATACAATTTTCTATATTGCTTTTTTTTTAGATATATTCTTTCGTCCATGGGTAAATAATATAGTAAATAATTGTATATACACAAACAATTTATTGTATGGATTTCTCCTCAAGCAGGCTTGTCTAACTGACGACACAGGAGGTCGTCTCTATCTAGTTAGACAGACCTAAAGCATTCCACTGTAAGCAGTTGGTAGCTTCCTGTTATCCATATGTTATAATGGCCTTTGTATAATGCTTATGTATTATGAATGAAGAGGAGAGATAGGTCATTTTTTTTATACTTATAAAAATATATATTATACATAATATTAAGGATGAGTTATCCATATTGAGCATTTGCTATTGGTAATGCATTGTCTCTTTTAACAAAGTATAATAAATACATATATTTATGTGTATATATTTTAAGTAACAATATATACATATGAATATATATATCTAGATTGTTTTACGCGATTGCATTTTTATATAATTGTTTCTTTGAAACTACACAATATACCCAAGTGCACTCTTTCTCGATATGATCTTTGTTACAAATAGATTTGTGTATATTATGTTTAACTCCTATTTATTATCGTTATTTGTTCAACAGCTGTTAATATCTACAAGATATTTTAAATTTTATTGTGCATAAATTTTATTTTGTTTTATCTCCACATATGTTCCTTATCTCCACATGTCATTTAGTAGCATCAACTTGAAATTTTACATATATGTGTACTTATGTCTTATGAAGAGATAAGAATATAATTTAAGTAAAAAAGGATAATAATACACGATTAAATAATATACGTTATAATCTGGATTGTTTTAAATATTCCGTAGTGTTAAGACATGGACTGTCCATGATTTTAACTACGCAATTATGTGCTTAACACGGACACGAATCGTCAGAAAATGGGCGTAGAATGGATACGCATCAAATCGACACTTTACCGGCAGCATTTGAAAATGGGTGTAAGGAACGTAGTTCCACCTCAAAAATGGGTGCAGATGACACATCGAATCAGTGTGAAATCATATATGTAATCACAGAGTGTTATGTTAAATCGAGTACGAGTTAGTTCCACTAGGGAAATGTAATAGGCACAACCATCTAGTATCTTTATGGTTCAAGACAACTCAGTACTGCTTTCCGATGCCCGAGTAGAGTTAGTTAGAGTTAGCTAGTAACCGAACGTTTAATACGCGTATCAATTAGTAACTTTATATCTTATTAATTTTATTAATTTTAATTTCGGCGATGCAATATATTCAATTAATACGATACGTGTTTCTAATCAATATTGCACTACTTCAATATGTTGTTTATATACATTGCCGAAATCAAAATAATTCAATATAAAATTACTAATTGGTATGTGTATTAAACGTTCCGTATAAACATACTATATGAGATTAAACTTATTAATAACTAATATTTTTTGAAAATCAACTACCTGATGCTCACGTTATCCGCTATGCTACTCTAGCTAACTCTAACTAACCATAACTACTCGAGCGTCGGAAAGCAGTACTGAGTTGTCTTGAACCATGAAGATACTAGATGGTTGTGCCTATTACATTTTTCGACCCTAGTGGAACTAACTCGTACTCGATTTAACGTAAACACCCACAGATGTCTATACTATACTAGGGCTGCGTTCTGAAATTCACTGCTAGTACTGAAATTCTATAATATATATAACATGAACTATAGATTTTCAGTACTGGCAGTGCATTTCGGAACGCAGTTTAGATCGCTAACTTCATCAAAAAAAAGCTGAAACCGGCCGGATACCCGGATTCAGCTATATCGCACACAATTGACATAACTGCATATGCATAGCATAAGATCGTATGGACCAATGAGCATCGAATATTAAGCATCGAACACCAATATGGCGACTTAATACTCGATGCTCATTGGTACATACGGTCTTATGCTATGCATATGCAGTTATGTCAATTTGTGTGCGATAGCCCTATGATACCTTACAACAAAATGGCGACGGCGTGTATGGGTGCGTTCGGAGAGCACGCTACCATCACTACTACATTCTTCTATCTTTATCACTCCTTTTTATATATATATATATATATATATATATATAATAGATTAATAAAGTTTTTAATAAAGTTCGCGCGACAGCCAATCAATATACTGCTTTCCGTAATAACCTTCTAGCTCTTATGGAAAAACAACATATTGATTGGCTATCGCGTGGACTTTTGCCGCGCGGCAAGCATTACCGCGTCCTGTGTGCAGAAGCCATAACTCGCGCGATGCCATATCCCCACTCCACATGACGTTACCCGTTTAGTTCGGCCACATCCGAAGCAATCTCAAAGGGCACGACTAAAAACTGGAGCCAATTTTTACAAGAGGGAGTTTGTACCCCTGGCCGCTCTCAAGCTTCTCTCGAATACATTATTGATAATAATAAGGATTACCTGGAACCAATATTGAGAGAGAGAGAAAGAGAGAGAGAGAGATTATTGATAATAAGTGCATTCATTTTCAAATATCTTTGAGATTGTTTACAACTATATCGGTTAAGCATTAGAAATAATTGCAGGCTTCCAGTAGTTTGTTCTACAAAAAAGTAATTATAAGACACGTGAGAAACTAATTTTACGTGTTGCAAGATGTCATTATTTCATGGATACAACGAAATTAAACCTACCGGTAAATATCTGCATATTTTCTATGTAACTTTGTACAAAATATAATTAATATGTATGGAATTAAAGTACATTATGAAGTGATAAATTGTTTAATAATTATAGATCTAGTGGCAAAGTCCATGCTATCACCATGCAAAACAACTGTTTTCAAACCCAAAGACTCTGGTCAAAAGCCAAAGGGCTTATCAATAAGATCTCGATCAGATATGAATGTATTTCATAGCACACATCCAACTAATGTAAAAAAAAATACATATACTAAAAATTTGAAGATTCAAAAGTCTAATGAAATAAGACCAGACAGTTCTAGACATCAGTTCTTGACATATTCACCAAAGGTAATTTTTATTAAAAGTAATAAAACTAAAGTAACAAAATATGTGTTAGATTCAAACAAATTTATTCATTGCATATTCTTATCAGTATATATAACCAATGTTAGAAATAAATTATTTACAATGTATCTTTATAGGAACATTGGAAATATTCTAATTGTGAATATCAGATTACTGAATTTGAAAGATTAACACTAAAAGAAGAGAAAAAAGGAATTGATAAAGATACAAAGACAGAAGAGACATTAGATGATAAAATTTTTAAGAAACCACTGCCTAAAAGATTTGCTAAGAAAGTTCATGAACCAGAAAATTTAGCACATCATTATGATTTTCAACATAAATTTGGTATGCAGATAATTATATGGATAAACAATTGGTTATTACACTAACAAGACCATTAGGCTTATAAAATGCCTTTTTATCAATGAATTTTTTGTAGATTATGAACATATTGAAAACATAGAACAAGAATTTATGGACCAATTTTTGAAAGAAAAAGAAACTGTAATACTTCATGAAGAAGAAGGTCAGATTGATATTATCCAATATATAACTATAAATTTTATATGATTTGCTAATTTTTTATTTTAGATTCAGCAATGTTAGTACCTATAGAATTTCCAGAACTTATTTTTCCTAGTTTCTTTGATGAAGAATATATAAAACTTTCATCTCCTGAGATATCATACATATCTGATGATGACACTTTGTGATTGAGATGGCTGTATCAAGGGTTTATTTAATATTAAACTTTAAAATAAAAACTTATGATTTAGTGTTATTGTGAATATTTATTGTGAATGTTATTGAGTGAATATTTAAAACCAAAGTAATACTATTATAATGCATTCTTCATAATTTAAGATATTTTTATATTAATAAATATGTTTAAATTAAATTATTTCACTATTATTTCGGTTTATTTTAAATTATTGATTGTAGTAATAATTGAGTGTAGAGAGGGGCAGAAAAAAAAGACAAAATATCTTTTTGAATTATCTATTTTATATTCATAAATAAATATAATATAAAACAATTCAATAAAAGTTGAATAAACAGTTTTTAGACTAGAATTGGACTAGACTTTTATTATATTAAACTTTTTATTTAATTCTAGTATATTAAACTGTTTGTTTAACGAGAACCGCAGTTTCTATTAAATTATTAGACATTTAAAAATACAAAAAAATAATACATTGTAATTTATTGTAACTCATAAGTTTCTTTCAAAATTTCCAAAATTTAATTATAAGTACTAAAATGTCTATATATTTCAATAAAGCTTAGTTCCTAACGTAATATTGAAATAAATGATTATTTTCATAATTCTCGATCTATATTGTGTAATCTCTATATTATACACAGAGAAAGTAAGAAAATTTAGTTTTATGTCAAGCTTACAACATCTTAATTGTAGCGGTCTTGTTCTTGTTGAGATCTTGTCGTTTAATAAATATTAAACAATAGCGCAATAATTATTGTCACATAAACCTGCGTCAACAAAATATGCGATTAAGCATGCGATTAAGATAATATTTATAACGTGTTAAGAGATATATAATGAACGATCATTTGGGTATAGAGGCTGCTGCTTCGAGAGCTCGTTTCTCCTCGGATAATAGAGTAATCTTCTCGCCGTATTTCTCTCGAAGACTTTGAAATAAGGATAGTTGGGTTTCGTATTCCTTCTTGAGATCAGCGTTCAATCGCATTGCCGCGTCCATCTTGCTGATCATCGCGTTATGCCGATCGCGCTCCTCAGCTATCTTCCGCTCCATGCTATCGACTTCGGTCTGCAACATGATCACGCATCTTAACAGTTAAATTCCATTACGTTATCAATTAATCAAATTCATTATGTTATCTATCGAGAGAAATGCGTTACAGATGTAGCTGCATCGTATGTTTGCGAAACGTCGTCAATGAATTGACGCTCAACTTACCTGAAGCTGCTTCACCTCCATATTACGGATCTGCAGCAAGTCGCGCGTGATTGACACCACTTCCTTCAGCGATGTCACCTGATTATTTAGCGCGTTAATCTGATTCTCCTGATTCGCGACTATGTGATTCCGCTCCTCGTACATCAATGCTGTCTGCGCCAGTTGGCCTCGTAGCTGCTCCACGGACTTTTGCAGGCCGGTCTCATCTCCACCCTGACGCGTCGTTGCGTCATAGGCCGCTTGCAAGATAGTCAGTTTCTTCTCCGTGTCTTCCAACTTTTTCCGATAAGTATCGCGCTCCTTTGTCCTGTTCTGTTAAAGCACAAGGATCGTTAGAGTCTACACGAACCGGAAGGTCACCTATGGATCAGGAAGTCAATACGATCGCGAGCTCTATCAGAGAAGAAAACGCATAAATCGTGGTCGTTGATGTACGCTTGTTTGAAGTAACACGCGAAGAATGTGGAAAATGATTCGACAAACTCGTTCTTCGTTAAATATGAAATTTAACCGGGTCCGCAAGCCCGCGGGGCGAGTCGTTTCTCCAGGGACATTCTTCCGAGAACTTCCTCACCCTCACTTCCTCCTCTAACTGCGACACGGAGACCGCGTTGTCGCCTTTCGCCTGCACGACATTTCGCTTCGAGTCGTCGATCTGCGATAAAAGATAAATTGGTTGCATAACAATTTGGGCAGGTTTTTTAATTCATCGATGGATCCACCGATGAATTAAAAAACTCGACTTTTGAGATGATAATTTGCACGCTATTCGTTCGAATCGCGCGACACGCACCTTCTTTTCATCTTGTGCCACAGCTGTCTGACAAACCGTCGCGTCCTTAGGATCTTCCTTGAGATTCTCCGCATCGGCAGTTTTTGTGCCGGAATCAACGACTCCTTCAGCGGACGCTTCTGCGTTTACTTCCGTCGACGTTGCATGATTTTCTGTAGTGGATGAGACTACATTTTCCGGCGCTACATCAACCTGTGTCGGTTTAACCGAGTTGGTTGATTGCGATGATGAGTCGTCGACTCGATCGGCCTTCGTGGCTTCAATCATCGGTGCATCTCCGCCAGCCGTAGGTGCCGGTCCTTCAATTTTGGACATGATTCTGCAAGGATGGCGAGATTCGTAACTTCGATTCAATTGTAAATTGTCGATAAATTCAGCGCACGGTAGCGTCGAGTCACAAATGAAGAAATCGCAGACTGTTAATTTCCGAAAGAACGGACGGCTAATGTATATACATTATATTATAATACTTCTGTTATTTCTTTTCGCTTTTTACGGATTCTCCGCTGTGTTTCAGACGAGTAAAATGTCACTCGTTATTAATTTCTTTACGCTTTTTTGTTTCCGTCTCTTAATGCGCGCAATATCTTTTAATGTATATACATTACGCAGTGCTGCGCTAAAATGTCGACGTCTTGGAAATCGTTGAAACATTGATAACTTTCTCTGCGTTTTTTCCATAAGAGTTGTTACCACGGTCGTGAATGTATATGCTACTTTATATCGAAAAGAAGTTTACCGAGAAGTATGCACGTATATAAAATAGTTTTTCTTTCTCGAAATATCTCTGTTGGAACTTCACTGTTATCCGAAACGACTGGTTTCAACGACTAGGCGAGAGAGCGTTAAAGTATTTTTGGCCGCCCGCCGGTTCACTCTATTTTAAGCTGTGTCTCATTTGTATGCCACTTATACATTAAATATATTTAAACATTATAACAAATAATTTAATTATTGAGTTATTTTTCTCTACTTGTTTCATAAATTGTTATTGTATTTATATGTAATAAACTCTTATAATTAATCCTTATTATATCTATATTAATGCAATATTACAAAGTAGCATCTTATATAAGGAATCATATCAAATTAATTCATTCATAACCTTTCGAAAATATTTGAAAAAGATTGTACATTTGATAGTATAATTTCTTGTAAATTACCTTTGCTCGATCTCGTGTAGCTTCGTAAGAAATAAGGAATTTTATATTCATCTAAAAATTTAATAATTATCAGAAATTTTAAGTAGAGTAATATGCTTCTAAAATCATCTTATTATTATTTTTGAGAAAGTTACAATTCGTTAAATTTTACCTGTTTCCTGAGACCAAAAATGTTCCTTTAGTTTTTAAGGATTATTACATGTAATTAAATAATCTAATATGAAATGATAGATGGAGAATGCATGAAAATAATTCAGTATTGATAGGCATGAAATAAATAAAGGATAGTGGAATATAATAGAACATCAAGATGCTTAACTTAGAATGCACCGATTAACGGTCTTTCTGTTTTTATTATTTATAATGCATGAATATTTATTTTTAATACACAAAAGAATGAATTTTCAAATTACGCTCAATTCGCAGCCTTTCCTCCTGTTTTTCAAGTGCACTTCAAGTATTTCTAAGAACTGTGGCCTTTGTAAATGGGTATAAGCAACGGACAGCATCTGTAAGGCTCTGCCTTGTACATGGATACTTCCATTGGAAAAGAGATCGTGTCCCAACTCTAAACAAGTACCAAAGTCGCATTCGTCCGCAGCTATTGTTGCCAGCCTCACAATCTCATCAAGTTGCGTGATTGATGCCTTTCTTTTATCCAGAGTGCTAGCCTCCTCTATTTGCTTCAGTATTTTTTGCAATTCATCTGTAGCAATAGAATCATAAAATGGAAACACAAAATATTTATGGAATAATGTAATCAAAATAATTACTTTAAATGTATAATTATTTTATGTAAATTCAATGTAGAATCAAATTGAGAAGATTCTTTTTAATAATTATTCATCTTAGAAAAGATCTGGACACTTACTATCTGTCGCTGCTAAATCTCTGTAACCTAATTGAGTCTTTTTATCATATGGAACTACAATGCCTGCTTTGTGAAAAGTTCGTGCTACAACTTTCTTTTCTCTGGAGCGCATGTCTGTAGTATTTTTCTCTAAAGTTATGTTATGTTGTTTGGCGAAGTTCTTCAGCTGAGAATGCAAACGCATTATACCAGTCTTCTCGAATGGATTGGCTGACTTTGCTTTATTTTGTAGATAAGTGCTGTAATTTAGGTAATGTAAAAATAAAATATATTAACATATGGGTATATGCATATATATATCACATTAAATTTTCCAGATTCTCACTCAATAGCACCAAATATGTTTTCTGCAACAGATTCAAATACACAACTAACATTTCCACAATTCTTTGCTACAAATACTGGTCTTTCTGCAATATCATCTCGCCAATAACCAAAATGTAGTCCTTCTTTGTTGTCACATTTTATAATAGTCTAAAAAAGTAATCCCCATAAATATTAAAATTATATTATTAACTTTTGGATCATTCTTATAGATAGAATTTCATTATTAGATATTAGCATATCACATATACCTGAAATTCTGGTGGATCATAATAATATCTCCAGTGTATCAAATATTTTTCTTTATCTTTTTCATTTGTCAAATCTTTAATTTTACCTTCTAACACATCGTATGGGCCCACAAGTTTTAAGCAAGCAGATTTACATGCCAAAAGAGGATTATCTTTTGATATACTTTTACAAAATTCATAAAATTGATAAAAATCCTTTGGCATTTCAACTAAAAATAGTTCTTTGATAGTTTTTTGAACATTAATATCTGATACAGATAAATTTTCACTTGCATTAAGTTTGGCAGAATTATATGAGTTATTATACTCGTTTAATTTTGCTGTTTGTATAACTGTTATATCTTTATTCACCACTTCTGGGCTTATATTTAAATTCTTGTCATCATCTTCATCACTACTTTTTGTTTTATCGCTTTCGGAACTCGGGGAAAGATTATGCACATTTCTTTCGGAATTCTCGCATGTCTTTTGCAATTTCTTTGGTGGACTTTTGCACTTTACTTTTTTGTTATTATCTTTTACCATATCTTTTCTTTTTGTGCCAGTGATGAGCGTTTCGTTTTGTTTTACCTGGAAGAAAAAATATGCTATAATCGCATATTAATTAAAAGGAACTTTCCACTAATTAAAATGAAAAATAAAGGCAATTATACGGTACCGTTTCTTTTTTTGGCGGGTGTTTGTATTTGCTGAGATGCTGTGAATTTTTCTGATAACATTTTACACCGTATTGACAAGGAATTCGCGGATCATCATTGTACACTTTAAATTGAGTTTCTTCATCGGATGACATTGTAAGAGAAAATATATTTATACTTTATCAGCGACAATTAATTTTGTATTATTACATACGAACAGAAATGAACGATGGAGGTTATCTCTCTTGGGCTGCGTTCGGAAACGTCACTCGAGTACTCTCCCTCTCTTTTTATCTCACTTTTGTATTTCGTTCACTCCAACGGCTATCGTCTAGTAGTGTGTGTTTCCGATGCAGCCTTGGAGTGTTTACGATAATTTGTCGGATTGGAAATCCGACTGAACAGTGATACTCAATCGACCCATTTCAAAAAATTCCCTAGCTTAATCAGATTTTAGTAAAAGCTATCTCAGCAGTAATCGGATTAGCTTCATAGCGACGTGAGGTGATACTTTGTCCTCAAGAGAAATAAAAAGATAAAAGTCGGTAGATACGTAATTATTATTCTAATGATTAGCGCGTATCATTTTCCTTATATATCAATATATGAATAAATGATCTGTTACACTTTTACTGATATTAAATTAATGAAAAGAAGTATTAGTAATCTCACGTGTAGTAAACATTAACCTATAATAATATTAGATTTATGTTATAATTTCGTATGTAACAAAATAAAAACAGTATAAAATCTGTCAAATTAACATTTCAGACATACCAATTTTAAAATATATTAAGGACATTTATGCATTTATAGCATATATAGATACATATAAATATGTGTACTTATATATGTATATGTTCATATGTGTAATCTATAATTATTTACACACTTATATTTTTATATAAAAAGAATATTTATATTTTTATAGATTGTGTATAGTAACCTAGGTTACTGTTTTTGACGCATTTCTTGTGAATTAAAAAATGTGGTAGCATTTTATGTTACAAATACATATTTTACATACTACTGTGTCCAGAAAGTAAGGTGACATTGCATTTTAAATCTCCCGCGCGCACGGATTTGGAGGAATAAATTTT